CCCTCTGCAACTAATTGCGTCTGTTATCTAAACTAACCACTAAAGAAGAAATAGATGCTACAGTTGATAGTTATATAAAAAGAAACAAAAAAGTATAAAAGCAGCATTAACCCATAAAGTAGAATATATTTGGACGGAAAATAAGAATATATGATGTTTGATTAAAGACAAAAAGGCCAGCAAAAATAGACACCACAGAAAAAGTAAGCACAGATTCATTTTGGTCGCATGGCGTTTTGCAAAGGACTTCACTAAAACACATCCAATCATAACTGTAAGGAAATTTTTGGTTGATTTCTTGTCAATTAATGAGACCCTTATATGTACTTCTTAAAACGTGGAATCATATATGTTATTTTGTATTTTGATTTATCAAAATGTTATTTCCAAAACATTCATAAAATAAATTTTAAAATAAATTAATATATAAAAAATATCTAGACTGACTTGGGAAAGCAGGTCTATGTAATCTTGATGAGTGAGTCTGATTCTGCTGATCAGTTGCGAGATGAGTGGCACAGCAACGTCGAGTCTAGACCAGGCTAATTTGGTGAGTTGATGTAGCTGAAAATCACAGAGACTAGTCTGAGAGTTGGCCTCCGTAGAAGACCCAGCAGACAAGCAATCAGGTAAAGAAACAGCAACAAGACTATTGCGCACGGTAAGGCTGTTTGGATGCCAGGTGAATAATAAAAAAAGACTACGAATATGATGCGGCTTCTCGCGGACAGGCTTAAGTTGAGTAACCAGATCATAAAGTTCGCTCATGCGACAAATGCGGATAGGGTAGGTGTTAGCATATCCTGTAGCGCTGGCGCCAGAGACCTGGGACGCCGGGAAAAGACGTGAGAGGACTGATTGGAAGTCTATTTTTTAAATATAAAGAGATATTTTGAGATTGGTGGTACAAAATAGATCATGAAATGATGAAAATAAGGAAGCATTAAAAAAATAACATAAATTATTCGTGTATTTGGTAAATATATAAGTAATAGGTCTAAATTAAATCAAATTCTTATTTTAAGCTAAGGACTCTCTAATATATAGTTATACACCACAGCGTAGTTTGCTTTTAATTCTAATAATATTCGAAGTCGAAAATTATATTAGCTCTCAAATTTGAAAGGCAAAAATTAAATGTCATTATGTTTTTAGTATTAACCATGTGCTTATGTAAAAATAGAATTCAATAG